AGGCTGGAAATGGGCCCATTTCCAGCCTCTGGTGCCTGGGAGAAGCAGTTTTCGCCCTCTCAGAGTCTCGAGGAAAGCCTCCAGAGCCTATGGAAGGTGAAAACGCCCTCCCCCGTGGGAAAGGAGGCTGACTCGGCCATGCCCTCCCAGCAACTGGGTAGAGAACCCGTAACTGAAATTTTTGAAACCCACCCCTGCACTGACCTTGTCTCAGAGATAGTATAGATAGCATGCTGGCTTAATATACGGGGATATACTCCTATACGTTCAGACTGCTCCTCCTAGTTCATGAACATTCGTCCAATACCAAGAGAGCCAGTCTGGCCTAGTGGTTAAGGCATCAGGCTGAAAACCAGGGGACAGAAGGTTCTAGTCTCACCTTAGGCATGAAATCTGGCCAGGCTTATCTTGGGCCAGGATTGTTGTTCAGGGGGAAAGGAGGAAGGCGTAATATGTATGTTCACTGCCTCAAGTTATCTATACAAATAATAAAAAAAATTATCAATTTAAAAGAGAATTCAAGAAGCTGAATGGACTAAGCATATGCTTCACCTATGTATTATAGCTTCTCTTGGACATGAACTTTTCAGAAATAAGATCAGTGGTCAGAAATTATGAGTTTAGTGAAACCACATATGAGTGACAACAATGGCAGCTTCCCAGCAGTCTAAATATTTATTGCTTGTGGGTTATGCATATTTCTTAGATTAGATCAGGGCCATAGAAAAGTTAAGCTTTTGGGCTTAAGTATGTTTGTCTGGCCAAATCTGCTTTTTAAAATCCTGACGTCTTGTGTTCTCTTTGAATTAGTACAAAGCAGGCAGATACAAGGAGATATATCCATACGTTATCCAGGAACTTAGACCAACTTTGAATGAATTGGGAATTTCAACTCCAGAGGAACTTGACATGGACAAAGCGTAAACTTAACAGTAAGAAAACATCTTTAATTTTTGCCCTTTGAGCATGTTCTTTAATACTCTGTTTGGTGTTTGATAAGGTAGAGAAAAACATTGGTGTCTCGGCAGAAAATGTAGGATACCTGGTATGTTCTCAACAACTGGAATCCAATTTTCTGTAGAATACAAGGGCTCTTAATACCTGGGAGATTTAAAGTATATTATAAATGAAAAGATACCTCAGTCATCTTGTACTTCATTTTACTTTTGGGGGAGCCACTAGTTTAAAATGCAGCAGACATCCCTCCAATAGAAAAAAAATTAAGCTCTGTATTTCTAAATAGCATTCAGATATAATCTTCTTAAGTCGCTATTTGCTCATATTAACCATTTATTTCCCCTGATAACAAAGTGAGAGAGAGAGAGAGAGAGGGAGGGGGAGAGAATTAGTGAAAGCATTTTTCCAACAAGAGAAAATTAGAGAAATTAACACAAGCACTGTTTTCTACATCAATTTTTCTTAGATCTGTTTTTTTTAAAATGTAAAAAGGGCATGAAGCCCGATAGAAATTAGGAGCAGTGTTTTTGTATACAAGTAGCAACCTGGGCATTACATCAAACATCCAAAGGATAGACAAGTGGCAATTAAATGCTACGAGTTTCTTAAATTGCTCTATGCTCTATTCATCTGCAGCTAGTGTTGAAGTTGGAACAACTTTTCTTAATCTTTCTATCCACTCCCCCCTCAAGAAGCTTGGGAAGAGTTACGGAACTTGAAAAGGATATCTCCAAACTAATTCCAACTATCTGTTCTTTTCCAGATGGACTTCCCATGAGTATACTGTTAAGGTTCTGTGACTGTACAACAATTACCTGGATATAGACATTATAATTACTTATTTGAAATCACTTCTTCCTTTTGTTGAGTCCTGGATATGTATTGTGAAGTTGACCTAATAAAGAGGAAATGGTTTGAATTGACTTTGGTGTTTATAGCCTGTGATTATGAATGACAATATCTATGTCTGTCTGTCTGTCTGTCCATCCATCCCAAGGCAAGAGTAAGCAAGCATGGGATTCTATTGAGACATTAAATTCCGTATATTTCTGCACAAAAAGTAGTTGTTCAAATAATGAAAGAATCCCACATTTTAACATGCAAAACCCAATTAAGAAATTATAATTTCATAAGTATTCATGTTAAGAACATCATATTGCTTCCATGGAATATAAATTGGACAACAAGCTTGATTGACTTCAACTGCTTACATAAATCTTAGCATTTACTACATTAAAAAGTCCCAAGTCTCCACATTAAGCGACATAACGTGTCAGTTATACCACTTTTTAAAAAACCTACAATTTCCTAGTCCTAATAGTTATTTAGAAGCTTTTGAAAATATGTGGTAGTGCTTGATGAGATCGTATATATCAAACTTTGATAATTCATAGTGGTAAATAATGAAAGTATTTTGATGGGATAAACACAGAGATGAATTACATCTTCTGAACAATTGTATACCTGTGTCCAGGAAGGATGAGAAAAATAGTTTAGAAAAACAGCTTGTACGTTGTAAATTCAGTTTATGTACTCTTCGTATAATGGCTAAGAATTGCTCCAAGTTGCTTTCTCCTTATATGCCTTCACAAAGGCAATAGCAGCCTCCCTTCTTAGAAATGGATTAATCGAATCCCTTGTCTCAATATTTATTAAATGTATATATGAATTAAATTTATAGCTCATCAAGCAATGTTATGTAATTTACAACAAGATATAAAACCATCATCTAAAACAAACAAAATATTGACATTAAAATGAACAAAAACAGCTATGGACGATGGCAGTATGATGGGAGTTGTAGTCCATCTGGAACAGGCTGGAGAAAACGTTTTTTCACACAAATGAGATAAAATTTGGGTTTTTTTTCTGTTTGTCCATTGGAGGGCATTTGACAGACGCCACGGAGCGCAAGTCCTCCAGTATCCTAGAGCGCCTATTCCATTCCTCTGCTCTTCCCAAAAACAAACAAAAAACAGGGAGCCGCCTCCCATTGGTCAGCTCTCTTGTCTCTCTTAACCCCGCCCATAGGCGTTGCTCGCGAGACAGAGAAAGCACAAGGGCGGGGCTTTACAGAAAACAAACCAATCCGGGAGAATGTCGGAGGATAATTTTGAATAAGGGACCGCCCCGTCGCGTTTCCTATTGGCGGAGCTTCGCGATGACGGGCGGAGGCGGTGGGTGGGTGGGCGTGGCTTCGGGGGGCGACCCTCTCCGGCTGAAGCGGCGATGGCGACGGGAGATGGAGGCGAGGAGGAGCCGCCTCGGGGAAAGGAGCCCGGGCCGCACCTCGGGCCCAGCGGCATCCTGGTGAGGCTGGGAAAGGGGCGGCGGGGAGAACCTCTTATTGGCCGGGTCAGCCCGAGGAGCTGGGCTGGATGAGGCCTTGCCTGGGCGGTGGGGGGTGGGGTAGTCTGCTCCTGGCTGGGGAGGCTCCATTCACAACGGCCAATATGTTAAAGCGAGGAGTGGAGATCCAGGCTTTCCCAGCCTGGCCTAGTAGGGGAGAGTAAACTCCATGGCCGTGAGCAGAGGGGGTGAGTGGGCAGGGAGGTGAGGGTGGGG